TTTATTCCATTTATAATCAATTTCCTCTTATAATTTAATAATTTTAAATCCATAAACCATTAATTTACTCATATCTGGAACTTCTTCTGATAATGCACTCCAAAATTCAACAACTTTCAAAGTAACTATTTCTAAATATTCAATAAATTCTTTTGTTTAATTTAATTAATTTGCTGTATCAAATAATTCAGCATTTTTTTCTGATTCTTCTTCAATAATAGTTTTATATCTGAAAATATGAAACTCATAATCTAAAGTTGGTTTAAAATCCATTGCTTGATTTAATTCTATCATTATTATAGAATAGGATCTTTATTAATTAAAGAGAAAATAGATATAACTTAATCTTAAAGGAGTGTCATCTGGAAATTTCTTTATTCCTTCATGATATATTTAAATAATCAATTCAATAATAATATGATTTCTATCAGTATAAATTGGATTTTCTTTGAATTTATTAGCTAATTCTATCTTTTATTTTACACTACAATCAGGTCGATCACAAATTTCCTTATGTAATTCAATATAACTATCTAGTAGTAATTGAGATCTTTAACATTTTTCTGATCTTTTCATTAGGAAAACTAGATATTCACATAAAAGGATGATTTACATTCCATTTTTAAACTTTTTTAAATTGGCTACAAATAAATCTACAGTTTTTTATTATCTAAATGCCAAAATACCAATAATTAATGGAATTCCTATTAACCATGCTTATACAGTCTTTTAAAATGTTTAACCATCAAATTTATAGGAATAAAACATCATTATAATAGTCCACAAATTGACAGCAGATGAAATAGACCATATTTTCTGTATAACATTATCATAATAAGGTTATTCAAGGTGAGTACTTATGAAAATATAAGAACTACCAATAAGGAATACAAAAATTATGATTATAGTATATTCAGGTGTAGGCAATAATTGATAAACCATAATTTATACAAATATGTATACAAGTAATATACTATATGATCTACCATTTCTCATAGCACTAGCATCTTAATTAGTGTTTCTGGATTCATATGTTATAAAAGCCATAAGAACAGAAAACAATAATGTGACAATTAAACCTATTATGGCTACAACAGCATGAATATAATATTCTGAAGTCCAACATTCTTATGATTACTCAAACATCATCACATATATTCCTTATTTATTATATTCACATGCTAATAAACCAAATTGCATTCTCACTATTGGCCAAAAACCTATTGTTAGAATAATTTTCAGTATGAATTTGAGTAATAACAAAGGTGGTTTTTATAACTTTTAATTCTTGATAACAAAAGCTAGAAGCATGATTAATAAGATGCTCAGGACAATTAATCCAAAACAAATATAAAACACTGACAAATAATTTTGGATTCCAATATTCTTGACAGATATTGTTATTGTAAAATATCTAGATAAATAAAAATTATACTTTATTAATAGATTAATCAAGTCACTGTAGGCTTTATTTTACCATACATATTAAACTTTGAGTCCAAAATTTAAATAAGTATATTGTAGATATTAAATCAAGCACAATAGAATTGTTAGCCATCTATAATCTGACCATGTTTTCAATATAAGGTATACAACTCTATATAGACACAGGATTACTTGAAGAATTTATATTTCAGAGAATTGACAATTTGATTGATTTATTCCTTCTTTTTCATTAATATTATATAATTTCATTATGAATAAATCATTTATTTAATATCCTTGAGCTTACTATTAAGTTCTTGTATTTATTACTGATTTGCCATAAGCAATTATTTCAATATTTGATTTTGCTGATTTTTAGTATCAATAAGGAACTTATAATCTTCATTATCGTTTTTAGTACTTCTCTCCAAAGGAGGTTTGATTGACAATTCTATAACATTAGTATTAATGGTCATAGAGCTTATATAATCAACTACTCTTTAATTCAATTGTTTTTATGAATCTATAATACGTTGAAGTTATGCTTTATTTTACTCTAAAGTATGAATTTAATCAAATAATTATTATTTTTCGTTTTCATGTTATTATTTTAAATCTTATACTTCTTTGCCAGACATAATACTCTATGCACTAGTAGCTAATGACATTGACATTGCTCTATTTTCAAATGTAGTATCTTTTAATTTTGTCTTTAAACGTTCAATCTATTATTGTTATTCTTAAATAATTTTTTATTATTCTGCTTATAATGAATTCTAATTTAAATAACTAGATTCTTTCTTAGATAATTATTTATTTTCTAAAGTTAAAGCATCAACTCTAGCTAATAGAATAGCAATTTCATCATTTTTTTATTGGATATATTTATCTTTTTTTGAGTCATCTGGAGATTACATTTGTTATAATTAAAATTTATAACTTTCAATTTCATTATCTTTTAATGCAAGTTATAATTTTAAATTAGATATTTCAGCTTTTAATTCATTATTTTAAGATTAATCTTATTATTCAATCATTGAAAATGCAATACTTCTAACTGATTAAGATGTATCTCTACTTTCTATTTCTTATTTAGGTGTAGGCATTTGCATAGAATTTAATTTATTTTCTGCATCTTTTCTTCTTACATTCCTTAATATCCATAATTCAAGATCTTCATGATTAGTATTCTTTAATTGAGTACTAGCCAATATAAATATTGCAGATAGTCCTTTAATAAATGAATCATATTTCTTAATTAATTATGTTATTAGAAATAGAGTAGTATCGAAATTAAATAAGTTGATTGAATATGTTATTAAATATCTCTTTAATCTACTTTGTAAGAATTATTTCAACAATTATTTTTCATCCTCTCCTAGACCATATCCTTTTACACAATAAGTTAATATACTTACTATGCATTCATCAAGAGGTTTCTATTTGTATATTATTGTTAATAATTGATAAGTTGATGCTTCTGATGAAAAACATAATAGAAAATTGGCTAAACATACTAATTCTGCTGAAAATTACACTTCTGGATTCTTTGAACAAAATGTTAAACAAACATTCTATAATTTTTAATTGTCTTTGCCTACAAGATAATAAAATTCTTTTAAAGAATAGTTAATATTGTCAAAACCACTTATTTCTGTTTTATCAAATCTTATTTTAGCGCTCTCACGAGCATTCTTATAATCTTGCTAACTTAGAGTACCTCCCAACCATTATTTTGATAAAGTGTCAACTCCATAAGCAATATGATTCTACTCCACAAAATTCTTTATTTACTCTGATTCCTTGAATTAGACTTCCATATACCTCTTTACAGATTTTACACATTCGATGTGGTTTTGTGGATTCTTTACCATCTTTTTTAATATGGTTAATCTTGAATGGAGAACATCCCTCACATACAGCTCTTAAACATCTGCATTATGTTTTATTCTTACCTTTTGCATTGATGTTCTCTAGTTGTAAAACTAAAACTTTTCTAACAGATTTGACATTTTGGAATTTTTCCACGCACTTCAGGAATATTGATAAAGGTTATAAATTATTTCATTTTTTTATTAGCAGTTCAAGTAATTTTTATTTATAATACTCTTTTTTTCTTAAAATTCTAAAATTCTGATGATCATCTCTTTATAAGTCTTCTCATATTCCAAATAATTCTAAGAATAACAATATGATTATTTTATTATTACTTAATTCTGTAATTGTTATCAAACAAACAAGTTAAATTAAAGATAATAAACATCTTATACATCTATAATTGATTAAACCACAAATTGATATAGATTGCTTTAAGAAAGACAAACTGTTTAACATATATCTACATATAAATTTACATGACAAGATTATGATAAATTGAATAGAAGAAAAATAAACTGTATATATTTGTATGTAATCATATTCAAAGAAATATTTGTAATTACACAACACTTGTAATTACACAACAACATTTGAGAATGGGATTTTCAAGCAATTTATAAATCTTTAATCTCATTTAGAAAAAAGTTCTGATTAATCAAAATAAAAGAATTTACATTATATCTAAAATGAAGGTTTCATTTTACATTGTTGCATATATAATATTTTGATTACCATCTTTTAAGATTGAAATGCAAATACTTTATTATCATCTTAGAGTTCTTTTTTAATAAAGAATAGTTGTCTATGATGGTTTTCTGAAATATAAAATAATGTTAATGTTTTTAATTATTCAGATGTTTAACTAGAGCACTTTATAAATATATAGAATGAATAATAAATACTTTAATGTTGGTTTCAACATTTTTTCAAGAGAATCCTAAGAATACTTTTAGGAATACTATCCAATAACATGGTATTTCTTGAATTCTTGAATTCTACTTCTTTTTTTTTAAAATTACTATTGGTATTTTTATTATGGAAGAGTAAAGGTAGAAAATAAGGAGATATTGATAATGTTAGAGAGAATGAATCATCATCAATATTCTATATTTTATGAGTATAAATTAGTTAATAATATTAATATAACCATTTAATATTCCTTTTAAAAATGGAAATATTGATAAATATCTATTGATAATTAGCAAATAATAAAATGATATTTCAAATAATTGATTTAGATGAACGAACTCTATTTAGAGTAGATCTTAATTCAGCAACAACTTATTATGTTACTATTTTGGTTTATTAAATTTGAAATTTATCACTGCTTTTTTATCTCATATGAAAAAAAGAAAACCTTTTTGCTGCATCTTAATCTAATGTTGGCTTAAATTTTGGTTATCTATATTTATTATTATCTTCATTTAAATAAGTGGATATATTTTTAGTACTATATGTGCTTTCAATGCCATTATATTTTTTAGATTTATTTAATTACAACTTACTATCTTATTCTTCTATGCATGCTCCATGACATATTGTTCTTTTAACTATTTTACTTTTAATCAATCGAAATGATGAGTTAGATGTGTTTAAAACTGAAGGTTACATGATTATTTAAAATATAGAAATAAAAAAAATGTTTACTTATCACACTAAAATAAATGAAATATTTATTTGTTAATTATTTTATAAGAATGAATTCTTAACAATATTAGAAAGAAATCTGGAATATGAGAGTTGCTGTCAAAGTAGAACTCTAAAAGAGTAATATACCACCTATGTATCTCATGATATATAGATAACATTATTTACTCTTCTATTACCAATAAATCTATGATGTACTAATATATGCATTAAAATATTAGCATTTTGATTCCTTTTCTCCTTAAGTTAATAAAATTAATCAAATTTCTTTTCTATACAAAGATGTTCTATTACCATACTAAATACCTTTTGGATTATTAGTTGATTTATATAAAAGTGACGATACATTCATACCTATTGATTTATAATTAATCTATTAAAAAGAAGCACATTTTCTTGATTTAGAAGATGAAATAAGGAATTAAATCAAATTTAATCTTAAATAAGCATGTTTTGGTCGTTATAATCATGAAGGATATGGAACTCCATTAAAAAATTTAACATAATATATGTCAATAAGTGATGAGAAATAGGCATTAAAGTAAATAAAGTCTTTTGAAAATAAAGAAGATCTCTATAAATATTATAAGAAAATATTTGAATCACCTAAAACAGGAAGAATTTAGTTACCAATTAGAATATATTTTAAAAAAGGAGGTCATTTATAAACTATAATTGAATTGAAAGATTAATAATTAACAATAGGATAAGCCTTAAGTACAAAATTGTAAGGAGGTACTTATATATTTAATGGATTAAATTTAAATATGAACATTCCTGCTCAAGATTTTTATGATCAGCTTTACTCAATTGATGGATTTTGTTATTTTGTTTGTGAGTGAAGATTTTTATTTATTGATTTTAAGAAAAACTAGAAACATAGTTATTATATTCATAAATTCAATCAAGAATCATATATAAATATTTTAATATTATATCTCAGATATTTGGCCAATATGATTTCTTTGATGATGTATTCATTTTTATTTCATCATTTGATATTTCAGAAATCATCTTTTGTATAGAATTAGGAGCATCTGATTGAATACCATCTATTTAAAATACCATCCAAGTCATATCCACTTTGTCCATTTATTAATTAGTTACTATATATATATATATATTAAATTTATACTTTATGGTAATCTAAATTCTACCAGAGGATACTTCAATTCATTTAGATATACAGTTATATGTGGATCAGAATCAATCCAATCTTGATTTATTCCCTATTTTTTTAATAAATCTAAGGATTCTTATCTAGTTAAAAATCTTTTCACAAATAAAGTATATGTATATGGTTCTAATTATGTTATATCCAATATTTCAATATGTTAATCTTCTTTTGAAATTGAAGTATGTTCCATTCCACCACAACTTTTTGATAACGGTCCTGTCAAACATGCATGTTCATTCATTTTGAAAATTCCATATAAATCAAGATTTAATTATTTTGATGACCATTCTAAGATAACTCTTACAGAATGTTTTTGAATACCATTAGTCAATCTAAATATATAATTAGTTTTTGGTATTCTTCTTTATAAATCTAAAACTGAGCATGTCCTTTTATAATCTAAATATTATAATATCAATTACTTGGTTTATATATCATAATTGTATAAGTATTGCCTTAACTGAGATTATTTAGTGTAACACTTCCATTCTCATCAGTAATTAATTCATATAAAGGTCTTTCTAATTATTTTATTATTTAACAAGATTATGTTAAGAATTTTCCATCATAAATTTAAATTTACTAAATAATTTATTAAATTTACACTATTTGAGATAGATTAAAAATTAGTTGCATCTTCAATAGTGACTTTAATATCATAAAATTTGAATGCCTAATCTGCAAATTTCTATGTTTCTTTTGATACTCCTTCTAAAATTCTTTTTTTTGGGATTTCATAAAATTCTTTTAATATTTCAAAATCTGAATTCAAAGGATAATCAGAACAGAAATATAAATTATTTTTCATGAATTTCTCTGCTTCTTCTACATTCCCTTTTATCAATATCCTATCATGTAATTATGTTTAGCCTTAGAAAAATTCTTTTGTTAATTCATTATCTACAATAATGGACAAATCCTATGAATTTTCTTCGTTAAGAATAGTAAATTATCCATTTGTGCCTTATATTGCTAAAATAATTCTAATTAATGATATTATTATACCCCTTCATATTATTATCGGTTTAAAAATTTATTTTTTATAACATAACAGCAGTAATTTATTGGCAACTTTATAAATTATGGAATCCAATAAGTTTTTCTTATTTATCAAAATCCTTGTATACAGGTGTTGGTAAAATAGTTATTTAATTTAAAACAGATTATTCTCTAATTTTTTAATAGTAAATAATTCTTACTTAACAAGAGCATGTTAAATTCTTATTTCTAAATCAGGTGTGAAATTGTATGTACATACTGCTAAAACAGCAAATATTAGTAAAACAATAAAGACTACACCATCTCCAACAATGTGCATTTTGTATTTTTTAAATGTACTTTCTGATAATATAGCTCCATTAAATGATTAAACTAATCCAATCATAATGATTAAATTAATCCAAATAGTAAGACTATTTATTGGACTAAATAGATAATTTTAAACAGCCTTGCAACATTTTAAGTTTATGCATCCCAATTTGTTATTTGTATTCGATTCCCATTCATATGATTGTTGATCTTAATCACAAGGTAAATATGGTGATAGGTCTAAATTTAAGTATTTTTATGAGCATTATAATTCATCTTTTAAACTTATTTCAGATATTGTCTACATAGCAAATCTACAACCATTAGGTAGAGATAATTCTAAATTTAAGGATTGGATTCTTCTGATTAACAAACCATTTACACAGGCTGCCATGATACAAAGACCAATCACAATGTAACTTAGAGTAACAAAATAAGCTTTAATTTTCTTGACATTAAATATAGCAACAAGGATATTTAATAGAAAGAAAGTCAATAAAATAATTTTGATGAATGAAATTTCAATATTAGTACTTGAAACCTAATACATTTAATAATTAATTTAAGAGATAACCTAGGTTAGATGAACTTGATACTTTTTTGAGGTAATAAGCTGCAAATGCCAAAAATATTAGATTAATAGCAGAACTAGCATAAACAATCAATCTTTAAACTCCGTATTCTCTAATATTGAATTATCTACTCACATTAGCTAGATAAAGAAGTAAAAATATTTCTATAATAGTTAATGGGAGTATCAAAATAAATTGATTGTATGAATTGTATTCAATTAAGCTTAATGCTAAGGCAGTTTAGATTGCACAGAGTATTTATGTGAAGAGAGAATGAAAATAAGGAATGGTTGATAGTGGATATCCTTCTTGCTGATTAATCACATCTCTTACTATTTGAAATGTTAAACTCCAATAAAAGGAAAAGATGCATACTATCAATATGGCTACCTTTAATTTATTTAGCAAATTACATTATTAAGTCCCAAAAGCAAATATTCAGTCAACCCATTAGAACTGTACCACATGAATGCAATGACTATGCTACACAATGAAAAGATAATGCAAATGGGAACCACTATTTTCAGGGATTGCAAACTCTATTTCTGAATCTAAGGGGAATATTGATGTTTTGTGATTTATATGGGGTTGATATCCTTATTCATAACGATTATGTATATTTTATTAATTATTATTCAAAATTATCTAAGTCACTTTACGCTTTTTGGACTGCATAACTTCAAAGTTAATTGTCTTTATTAGCTGAAATACTAAGTTAAATTATACTTTTGTAATTGCCTTGATTTTAACACTTATCTCTTTGTAGTATAACAAGTTCTACGAAGAAAATCATTTTATAACGGTTCTTCAGGCATTTTGTTATAAGATCGTAAATTTAATAAATAATTGAACTTCCTTTAATTTTACAACTAACCACCTTCATTACATCTGTCATTTTATAATCAATTTCTACGTAATATAAAAATCCCTTCCTGAACCATCATTAGGATAATGTTAGAATTTGGGTGTTATACTAGGCAAACTTACTTGTACTTCCTTCTTTCCTAATCCTGCTCTTTCATATACTCCATCAAAATGAGTTTGACTATCTTTTAATAGACCACCATTAGAATATTATACATAGTAGTCTCTGCCTTCATATTTAGATTAAATGTAATACCTGCTCCATTTGCATGGTACCTTGTGAAGTAGCGTGGATCAACACATGATGCTGTAGACATATTAATATTATTATTAATTATGGGATGCATTAGTGCTAAAGATGTCCAGTAATCAATCAACAAAAACATCTATAATAATATGAAATAAATACATATCATAGCCTTTGATCAAGTAATTTTTGTATTCATATTTCAATAGCTTTTTTTATTGTAATCTCAATGTCTAAGAGAACTAGATCTATTACAGAATAAAGTTATTTCTAGGAGAATTAATATGATCAATATTACTAAAGCTCATCTTCTCAATAATCCTAAATTAATAGAAGCTTATAAATTATGGACTTGGGGAGTTTCGCTTTGTAACAAGGGAAATTCAAAAGGAATGAATGTACATTTCAGTTTCACTAATCCAGATGAATCTGTTGATAAGAATCCTACTTTCATTTACAATTTAGGTTCCTGTAAAGAACTTAGGTTTCATTGGTTTGCTATAATTCTTAAGGAATATGTTGAATATGTATAAAATGCAAAACAATTATTTCCAGAAGAACGTCTCAAAGCCAAGGATATTTATGATAAATTAAAGACTATGAGGGAACAATCATAAATTTACTTAAACAATTTATCTCCACCTGAAAAGATTGAAGCATTTACCAATATTGAATATAATATGAGTAAAATTCATAAAGGATTACATAATGCAGATTAATTTTATGAACATTTAAAGGAATTAGAATTTGAGTTATTAACAATTATTGATAAGAATTATCAATATGAAAATGAAGCAGATTAATGGGGTCGAAAATTATATCGAGATCTTGATGTTATTCCTATTGGGAATGATTCCTATAGAATGAGAGCAAAAATGAATAGTTTAGTATTATTGTATCATCCAGGAAAAAAAAGAACATCAGAAGAAGAAGATTATTATTATAATATTAAATTAGATCGTTCAAAAATTAAACCTAAAATTATGAACAATAATAATGAAGAAGATTAAGAAAAGAAATTTAATTTTAAATTAAAATGGACTGGTTGTTCTGAAGTTGATAGAAAATGGAGTGAAATCTCATATATTTTAGAAGAACATAATGAATAAATGAAATAAATAAAATAGATTAGAAATAAAATACGAAATGAATTATAAACTTATAAGTATGAAGATGACAATTTGATTGTAGCTTGGAAAATTTATTGTCTATCATTATTAACTGAATTAAAGGATGTTAAAATTATACTAAACATTAGTGATTAAGAATCAGTTTAAAAAATTCTTAAAAATTAAATAGTTTTAAGTGAGAATTTAGAATTATAATCTAAATTATTTAGTGAATATTTTTTCATAATAAGACCTACAAAACAGAAATAATTAAAAGAATATTGGAAGAAATTGGACTTTGATAAATAATGGATTTAGGGATCATTTATGTAATATGATCAATTTAAATTGATACCTCATTAAAATCAATATAATATGATGACAAATTAAGCCAAAAATATATATGAATTTACTTCGAAGAACCCTATTTATTAATAGATCTATGAGAAAAGTTATTTATTCATTTATTACATTTAGAATACATGAGATTAGAGAAAGAGGGAGAATAGTTATTTAGTAATGGCAAATCTTTATTTGATGAAATGGAGAAACTTTATGAATAATATAAGATAGACAAAGATGTTGATAAATTAATGAAACAACAATTAAGGAGTGATGATATTATTTTAAAGAAAAAATCTAAACTTTCCAAATATAATTGAATTAATATATTAAACCTAATTAAAATATAGATAAAATTAAATTTTATGGGGCAGACTTGCAGTAAGAAACATTAGACTAATAAGAGTCATTAAACTTAGTCATCAAAAATGGTTCTTGGTGATTCACATTAAATGATACTAACAAATCCAAATAGTTTCCATCCAGAATAAGGTTTGAAACAATTTAAATAACTATGCTAACTATTGTAATTAGTAGGAAGTTTGGATTAATTAAAATAAAAGACTAGAGATTAGTTGAAATCATTATTTGCATAAAAAAATAATTGCTAAATAATAATTTAAAATACAATAAGAAGAGAATTAAGAAATAAAGGATTAATAAGACCACCTTAATAAGATGATGAGTATTTATTACTATAGGATAAAAAGTTTAAAAAATCAATACATACTTAATTATTAATTGCGGCTGAAATTATTAGAACATTGTAATAAGATTAAGATTTTTAGGATAAGTTTCCAACGATGTGTGTATCCTTTATGGAATTGGCAGATAGTATTTAATTTAACAGCTTATGATTTGTAAATAATTCAGTTATATATCATTCACTACTTATTTTAAATACATTTCTAATTTATTTCATTTAGTTATCACTCAAATTTTTTATATTGATTGTATAATTTTAATCCCTCTTTCAAATTTACAGATGTTAGTATACTTAATTTAAACTTAAATTATGGAAAATAATACTATTGTCATAAGAGTAAACTTTAAAAATGATGAAGAAACATATCTTTTATTTTAATTATGTTAATTTTTCATGTTGATGGATTGATATTTTCAATTAATTCAGTATATTTTTTAAAGTTTAGTTTTTTTTATATTGATTAAATAAATGTACAAAAATAAAAGATCATAAATTTATCAATATGAATGGCAAATAAATGAATAAAAAATGCTGAATTAACTCCTTTAAATTATTAATTTAATAATTTATTATTGATATTTCTATTGTAATTTACTAATATTATAGAAATTATATTATAAAGATATTCCTTTCAAGAATTTGATAAAAATTATATGGAATAAATTTATATAATTAAAGAATGGAACGTAAACTTTTCTTTGGAGTAGAGCAACAGTTGGAAAATAAACAATTTAATTACCCAACAAACTTTATACAAACAAGCAGGTATCCAATCTATCTTAAATGAGGTATAATCTAATTACTTTCCTTCCATATTCATTAGCATTGCAATTCTAGAGAATGGCAAACATTTATTTTCTTATCATTGCAATATTGTCCTTTTTTAAATCCATCTCTCCCTTTAGTCCAATAAATTCTATTGCACCTTTACTCTTTGTTGTATCTTTGTCTATGCTAAGAGATGGATATGAAGATTATTAAAAACATCTTAGTGATAATGAATTAAATTCATCTCCAACTACAATATGGACTAATGGAGGTTTTGTTAAAAAAACATGGAAAGATGTATTAATAGGAGACATAATAAAAATTGATGAATTAGAAATAATTTCAGCTGATTTAGTTGTTTTATAAACATCATAAGATGGGATCTGCTTTATTGAAACATCATCTTTAGATGGGGAAAAGAATTTGAAACCAAAATAAGCAGTTAAAGAAACTTAAACTATAGAATGTAGACAAGGAATAATAGAATGTATAAACCCAAACTAATTACTTTATAATTTTGATGGAACATTATTTTTGGAGAGTAAGAAGATTCAATTAACTCATAAGAATTTCTTATTAAGAGGATCAAAATTGAAAAATGTAAAATGGGTTATAGGTGTTGTTGTTTATACAGGAATAGATACAAAAGTAATGAGAAATTCAGAAGAACAAAAAAATAAAATGAGCAATATAGATAAATTGATTAATGTCAGAATTATTTACATCTTAATTATGCAAGCATTTATTTGTTTAATATTAGCAATAATATATGGAATTAATTGTGACATTAATAAAATCAATTTTGATTATTTTAGTAGAAATTTTTCTGGTTATGAATCTTATAATGGGGATGATAAAATATATAATCCAGACATTCCAAATTGTGCTCTGGCTTCATTAATGACTTTTGCTGCCTATTTTCTACTTTTAAATACTCTAATACCTATAAGTTTAATAGTATCTTTGGAATTTGTCAAAGTAGGTTAAGGAATATTTATGTAAAAAGATAAGGAAATGTATACTGCTGAAAATGATAAATATGTTAAAGTGTTTAGTACAACTATTAATGAAGAATTAGGATAAGTTCAATATGTATTTTCTGATAAAACAGGAACATTAACTTGTAATAAAATGGAATTTAAAATATCTGTTTGTGGAAATGAAATCTATGGAGATGTATCAATGTTTGATAAACATGAAATGAGTACATTTGTTGGTAATTAGATATTAAGAAGACAAAGTACTTTACATTAAAGAAGATCTACAGTTGTTAATGAAAAAGCAGGCATTGAATATACATTCTCTGGTGCAGTCATTTAATCTATTATTACTGAAACTGATCCTATTAAGAATCCTAATATAGATCTTAATGTAGATACATATATAATCAGAAATTAAGGAGATTTAGTAAAAGAAAATCTAATGTTGTTAGCCACTTGTCATGAATGTGTTCTTGAATTATAAGATGATGGCACATTCAATTATTAAGGACCTTCTCCAGATGAAATAGCATTAGTAGATGCAGCTAGAAGATTAAATATTATCTATAAAGGAATTACCATGGGAATGATGGAAATAGATGTTCTTGGAGTTAAAGAAAAAGTTGAACTCTTATTTTCTTTTGAATTTAATAGTGATAGAAAGAGAATGTCTGTAATTATTAAACATAAGGGTGTGATTAAATTATATACCAAAGGAGCTGATGCAATCATCAAAGAAAGATTGGCTCCAAATTAACCATTTCTAGCTGGTATTGATAAAAAATTGGATATGTTCTCAAGGAAAGGATTGAGAACTTTATGTTTAGCTATGAGGGTTCTTGATGAAAGATAATTTAATTAATTTTCATAAGCTATGAATGATACTCTAGGTGGTAATGATACTGAAAAATAATAAACTGAATTAATTAATCAAATTGAAAGGAATTTAACACTTATAGGAGCTACAGCTGTAGAAGATAAATTATAAGAAGATGTTCCAGAAACATTAGCTGATTTTCTTAAAGCAAATATAAATGTATGGATGTTGACAGGAGATAAATTAGAAACTGCTGAAAATATTGGTAGATCTTGTAATTTGTTATAAGAATAAATGGATGTTTTCTTTTTAACTCCTGGTTGTGATATACTCTCTATATTTAATTAAATTGCAGATCATGTTATATAGAAACCTGATACAAAGAGAGCTATGATTATAGAAGGTATTGTTTTGGCTGAATTAAGTGAGAATGATAATCTAACTAAATATTTAATCTTACTAGCTCCTCATCTACATACTGTTATTTGTTGTCGTGTTACACCAAAATAAAAAGCTGACATGGTTAGATTAGTGAAAAATGAATTAGGAAAGATTACTCTAGCTGTTGGTGATGGTGCTAATGATGTTAATATGATCTAAGAGGCACATATTGGTATTGGAATATATGGACAAGAAGGTATGAGAGCTGTTTAAGCCAGTAATTATGCTATTGGTTAATTTAAATGTCTTTGGAAATTAGTTTTATATCATGGAAGATAAAATTATATTCGTATTTCTGAAATGATTTTATACTTCTTTTACAAAAATATCATTTTTACTATCCCTCAATTCTATTTTGCCTTCTTTTGTGGATTAACTGGAACTAGTGTTTTTGATGAATTGTAATATATTTTAATCATTTAATTTAGCTTTGTCTCATTTTACAATACAGTATTTACATTCTTACCTGTAGTCATAAGAGCCATTTTTGATGAAGATGTTTTCTATACACAATAAAGAAAACAAACAATATTAGGAAGTAAAAGAATAACTGAAGGAGAAGAAGAAAATGATATACTTAGATAAAGTTATCCATTACTTTATTATATTGGATAAAAAAATACTATTTTTACAAGTGAAAAGTATATAAATTTTAATATTTTTAGATTTTTTAAATGGTTTTCAATTGGAATTTTTTAAGGATTAGCATGTTTCTTTTCATTTTACTTTGAATTAAATGATACTACATTTATTAAATAAACTGGATATAATAATGATTTATGGTTCTTTAGTATGTCTATGTCTACTGCTATCATGATAGTAATCAATTAAATTTAATATTAGCTTGTTACATTAAAATTAGCTTTAAATACTCAATTTTGGACTATAATTACATGGGTTGCATATTTAGGAACCAGTTTAGGTACTTATTTTGCCTATATGTGGGTGTCTAATATTATTCCTAAATCTGCAATATATGGAACTACTTAGATGTTATTTTCAAGTTATGCCTTTTATTTAAGTCTTGCATTGTCTGTATTATCAATGTTTATTCTTGATTTATTGATGTTTACAATTAAAGCATCAAAAGATACTTTATTGAACTATATGAAAAGATAGGCCAGATAAAAATAATAATTAGATTCAGCTAAAATATTAAAATTAGAAAAAAAACTCAAGGAACAAATATCAGAGATGGAAATGCCACACTTTGAATTAAATTAAAAAAGAAGTTTGATTAATTCTAATCTATCTCAAAGTTAGAGTGGATTAAAATAAGGATCAAGTAAGGATAGTTATTTATGAGTTAATTTAAAATAAATAATTAATCTAAATTCAATTAAAATGATATTTTGAAAATCATTTTCAGAGTTACGTCATTATTAATCTGACCTATTTATGATGTAAAATTGAATTTATTAAAAAATATATTAAAATAAACCAAACTGATATGGGAATTTGTAAATCAAAAACAAAAAATCAAATAGACACAAAATTATAAGGGTCCTTTGCAAAAGTTATCAATAAAGGACCTGAGAAGAATGATATTGAAGCTTTAATAAGAGAAAAAACTTAATCTTAAGAATTATATAATCCATACAGAAATCCAATTCTTAATAGAAGGCTTAAATAGACTCCAGCCTGATTGATTTTATTTATATATTGTTTATTGATATCTTTTTATTAATTTCCCTTTTTAGGTACTCTACATTTTACAATTCTCATTTTTAGTATATTTTTCATTACGTATATATATTAATTAATATCTTGATCAATTAATTAAATATAAAAAAAATGGGAACTTGTGCTGCTCAAAAATAAAAAAATGTTTCAAATGATGGAGAATTATCTGAAACCATGTTTAAAGTGCGAATGTCTCATGATAGTCAAGCTATTTTGAGAGAGAAAACTAATTAAAAAGGAAGTTTTAATCCATTTAAAAATCCTATAGTTAATAGAAGAATAAAAGAAATACCAGTCTAATCAAATAATTGTTCTTTACTTGAATGAAAAAATATTCTAAATATAGATCTAATTTATGTTAAACTATATAAATTGATTATATATTATAAAAATAAATAAACCATCTTTAAATATAAAAATAATATTTTGTCTAATTTTCTATTTATTTTTAAGATTTTGTAATAGCCATTTCTATATAAAACCTAATTTTTATAAGTTTTATAACTTTATTATGTTTATTAGGTTTAAGAAAATATAAAAAATTATTTTAACAATTAACTTAGTTTAGTCGTGTTTTTTTATTGTTTAATTTATGAAGACTCTGAATATTATCTATATGTTAAATACAAACAATATTGTAATGAATTCTATATTTGAAATTTTTATTAAATTGAAAAATTGGATTTTACTATTATTTCAAAGTACTTTATCATTCAGCAATTATTAATTGATATTTATGATTGTGTTTTTAAATAAATAAATAAAAGGAAATAAAATCATAATTTTCAAGAATGAGTGTAAGGAGATTTAGAAGTGGAGGTATGCATGCAAATTCAGAAGAAGAATACTTAAATGTATAAATTTATAGGAAATTCTTTTAGAAAATTGTTAAGTTGGAGAAATAATAAAAGAAAAAAACATATAACTAAGAAGATGAATACTTTGATGGTTTCATTGTAAATTCATAATTTACATTTGATTGCATCGAATAACCTCAACTACCTTAGATCACTTAAAAATCTCATTTTATTCTAATTATGATTGATGATTTATATTTAAGTCCTAAAAGACTTTAAAATATGATAGAATACAGTAAGTTCATGTTTAAAGTATTTTTAGCAGATAATTGTGAAACAATGACTCAAAGTACGAATGACGATTGCTCAACTTGGAGTCCATAAATTATGAACTATGACTGTATAGTTCATACATATACATAAGAATGTGTGAATCATCTCTTTAACATATGGATAATAAATACTAGGAATATAAATTCAACTTTTAAATGTATATTTATTAACTAATAGTAGATTGTTATTTCAAGTTATTTGAAGCCTTTATATGTGTTAACAATGTTAAGAGTACTTTATTTTAAGAAATTTTTGAAGAGATAAAAGAAATAAATAGTAAAGTTCAGTAATTCCACATGAAGGAAAATGATGAGGTAAAGCATTTATTATTATGTTAGGCTTCACCTGAAAGAAAATAAATAAATAATCTTTAATAAATTTTAAAAACCTTGATCGATTCGAGAACTCTATGAAGATAGCACATTAAAGTAATTTTTGTTTATTGTTTATGTTTCTATATTATAAATAAGAATTTACATCTATTTATATATAAAATATATATAAACACTTTTAATTAATAAAATAATTATTTTAATAAACAAAAAATGGCAGATCAATCATAAGCAGAATATTTAAACTTAAAAGTCAAATCCCAAGATGGAGAAGAGGTTTTCTTTAAAATCAAAAAGGCAACTTAATTTAAGAAATTGATGGATGCCTATTGTTCTAGGCAAAATGTATTATGAAGTGAATATTTTAGCTCCAAATCTAAAATGTGAGATTCTTATTTGATGGAGAAAGAATTTTAGAGACTTAAACACCAGCAGATGTATATTTAAATCTCTATATATTAGATTGGAATGGAAACTGGAGATGAGATTGATGTTGTAATTGAATAAGTTGGTGGCTGGAAAATAATGTGAAATTATATTATATTTTATAATATATAATTTATACTCTCCATCTTTCTTTACTTATTTGTTAGATTAGCAGTGAATGTACTTAATAGTATAACTAAAATATAACTCTTTTGTTAAATTTAAATGTTTTATATACTCAAATTCCTTTATATATTAAATCAAAAGAAATCATTTATAAGTATGAAAGACATAATTAAAAGGAATATCACTACAGTCTTCTCAATTTAAGAATTTTATCGACTATAATTATTCTTACATATATATATTACAATTAAAATATTTATTATCGTTTCTTTAATGAAAGTAGAAATTTTTAACTACTTTAGAGTTATGATATTATTTATCTTTTTTTGTAGAATATTCTAATTAAGAAAAATAATATTTAATAATTCTTGGACATCAATACTGTAAATTAACAATTATTTATATGTAATAATTTCACTATCTATGATAAAAAAAGAAGATGAAATGAAAATTATAAGAAATAAAATGAAAAATTGATTTCATTAATTTTTATAAATCAAAAAATTAAATTATTAGATTTGAGAAATCTTATACTAAAGTGACTGTTTATAATTAATACAACATGTTTTAATAACCTTTTAATTGATATTCTTATAAAACTAGGTTATCTATATAATTATTAATTTAAATACGAACCAAGCCTTACAATTGTATTAATTATCTTTAATTAAAAGTGAACAATCTTTTAAAACTATTTTAATAATATATAATCGGAATTATATATATTAGATTATATTTATATTAAATAGATTCAATTTAAATAATACTAAATATTTTAATTAAGTGAATCTTATGAAACAAGATTTTTTTTGAAACTCCAATTTCTATTTAAAAATAGAATTATATCATTTATATTTTTAATTCCTTCTTTAAAAGTTTTACTTCTTTTAAGCTTGAAAAAATAATTAGAAAATATATATTCCTAATATTCAAAAAGTTAATATTTGTAAATTCAAACAATACTAAATATATAATTATTTAAATGTAATTAATTAACAATTATCATTTAAAAAATCAACAATTTCTAATCTCTCTATAATTTAGTTATTATTTTAATAACCATCTTTTTTTATTATTAAAATAAATCATTAGATATATATTATTTTAATATTAAAAATTAATATATTTAATAAAAATATCTAAATCAATTTTAAGAAATGAAAATAAATCTATTTAATAGGTAGTGAACATTTATAATATATAAAATATGACAGTATTTAATATACTTATTATAAAATGAATAGGAATTGTACTATTCTTATATTATTATTCATACATCATAAAATGAAATCTTAATCATAAGGTTCAGGAATATTAAAATATTATTCTGATTTAATTGATTATTCTTTAACTATAGGTTTTCTTTTATATTAATCTCTAATTTATTAATCATCATCTGATTTATTATCTTCTTCATATTATTCTTTATGTGTAATTTTAACTTAATTTTAGAGTCTTTATGGTTTTTATTGTTAATAATAAGATGATATACTTTATGCAATTTAATTAGAATAAAGCCAATCTGGTTTATAATCTTAACCTAAAGCATGTCTATGACACAGCATTCTAAATCTTTCATTATCTAAATATTAATTAGAGGGATCTAATTCTTTCCAACAATAATAGTGAATCCAAACATTACATTCTTTATTATTACATTTCATAGTTGCTCCTCTTCTCTTACATAAATAACAAAATGTATCATAAGCAATTCTTACTGCATTACATAAAGATTCGAAATCTATAGATCCTTTTACTTCATCACAATCCACCATAGAAGACCAATATACACAAAGATCATGAAAGTAAATTCCAGTTCTTTCTACAAGAAATTATTTTTCTTTTCTATTAGCAACAGCCTTTTTAAATGCTTCAAATAAATGGAGATCTAATGCAACAGGTCCATATAGATCTCCATATTTACAATTCAAAAATTCTTTAATTCTAGCAAATTTTGGATGACATTTACAAATAATACAAGCATTTCTTGGTTCTACTACCCAATTTCTTGGTTTAAATCTTACATAACTTAGATCATGATACCACATTTTATGTCCAGCTACAATTGATATCTTTTCTACTCTTCCTACTCCTTAATTACAAGGTTCTTCAACTGGATTAGATTCAGATTTATATCTTTTTAATTTTTTGAATGGATTATTGTCTGGTCTATCAATTATAAACTTTTCAAATATTTTATCTTCTTCAGTTAAACTTTCTGATTCAAAAATGATAGAATTAAATGTTGTATTTTAAATTAAATCCAACCCATTTTTGAATTGAAGATTCAATATATTATATGATTCAGGTTACATCATCTTTGTATCTAATGATTATCTTATTTATTTCAATTAATTTAATACAGGTTCTAAGAAATTCTAATATAATCTCTCATTAGGAACAAATAATAGATTAGATTAACATGAAGCTACTGAGATTAAAGATAATCTTTTTTATTGAAAACACATTCTTTTAAGAACTCCTTACAATTATTCTTAAAATAATGGTTATTAAGAATCTACTCCATAAACATAATATATCAGATTGTTTAGTAAACAAACATCATTTGATATTTATCTATATTTTTCAAATTAAGTTTTAATCTAATTCAATTTCTCATTAAAATATTCTATCTAAATTTCTAATTCTTCAATTATAGCCATTAAACTAGAAGTAGTACGACCTATAAGAGGATCTATTTAATTTGGAGTTTTATATTTTCCATCATAATTGACTAATCTTTTAAGTATATCCAAAAATTCATTAGCTTCTACAACATTATGATTTTCATGTAATTTTCTACACAATTTACATATAAATCCTTAACTTAAACAAGTAGGTGTTAAACAAACCAAATTTAATTATTCTGAAGTGTGTAAGCAACAAGTTGTATTTAATAATGGTACTTATTCTACTTTAGTATTCATAAGTATATAAAAAAATTAAGGATTATTTCTAATTATGGAAAATTTATTTAATAAAATCATTCAAATTATTATATATTATGATACCCTTTTTTAATTACTATTATTACTATTAACTATTTCTTAAATAAAATAATATTCGAATTTATGTAATTATTATATTATTTTTATGTTAGACAAAGCCCTTACTTATTGTTTACAAGAAGAAACACCTGTATCTATTGCTGATATTATGCAAATCTAATAGGATCAACAAATAAACCATAAATAACCAAGAATTCTAGCACAACCTATTAAATTAGATTTTCAATAATTTCAATAAAAATTTATTAAGCAATCATCCATTAAAGACATGATCAATCAATCAAGTTAAGAATTCAAATAAACACCCAAAATTACATAAGACTTTACTCCCTACCAAAGTGGATGGTAAAAAAACATACTTAACAAATATTATAATCTCAATACAGGAAATAATAGCTTTTGCAACAGTATTAATTTATATACAATAGAAACAAGAAGAAGAGCATATTCGATATAGATGAATACAAAGAAAGTTAATTTAAGAATAAGAGATATGTCTATGTTTACAGAGAGAAAATTTAAATTAGAATCCAATAATTAGTTCTGATTTTTAAATAATAAAAATATTATCTAATATATTATTGAAACTTTTTATTAAAATTTTAAGTTCCAAATAACTCATTTTTATTATAGTTTTAACTTTAGATAATTGTTTCTAATATTCTAATCTGCTTTAAGAGGTAGTATCATATGTATTCAAGTAACATAATGGTTCATATCTCAATAAAATAATAAAATTATAGTTTGTAAATAAATAGTAAATCAATTAATTATATAAAAAGGACTTCATGAATTAAATATTCGATTTTCAATAAATTCTATTTAAGAAGGTGCATCATACCAATAGTATATTTGCATATGATAAGTTTAAGATAAAAAAAATTATTTAAACAATTAGAACAGATAATCTGTTATTAAATATTTCAAATATAATTACACTAAATACTAAGGAGCAATATATGTTTTTTAATTTTATTTGCTAACCAAATATTAATTAATAAAGTATGTGCAAAATTGAGAAGGATTAAAAGTGAATTGTCTTCTTTTTCTATCAAAATTATGATTTTTACTGTTGAAATTTCAATATTTAATAAATAAGTTATAAAATTAAAAGAATTATTTAAATAGATAATGATAGATTCTCTATGAGATTGAATTCAAAAACATTTTTATAAAAAGAAGAGTAATTTCTTAAGAATTAATATTTTAATAATATCTATCATAATTCTTTATAAATATACTCTATTTTTAAGTTAAAATATAGTATTAAAATAATTATTTCTATTAATAAATTACTTTTAATGCCTCTTTTTATAATTTCTATATCAAATTGACAATCAAATATTCCCTAATGCTTTATCTACTTCTCTTTATCCTTCTTCTACTGCTTTTAATGTAAGTCTTATTTTTTCTTTATCCTTCTTCTTTAAGAATTCAGCCAAAGCTTTTTCTCCTTCAACTTTTGCAAATTCTGGCCATTCTTTTTCATCCTAAAAGAACTTCTCATTCAATACAGGATGCATAACATCATTTGTATCTTCAAACTAAGAAATTGTATTAAATTTACCTTATCTTTCAAAGAATCATATTCTCTTAATTTTCTTAATTCTTCTGGATTCATTTCATTTGGTGTTCTTATTTTCAAAAATGTTAAATCTTTATGTCTAATTTCAGGTGGATGCCATACAACTGCAGGTCTTCTACTAAACCTTTATGCTCTTCTTGAGAAATTGTGAGGTTTAGCTTTTAAAACATGTGGTATCTAAATATTTAGCAAAATATAAACTTCATAAGAAGGATCATTAATTTTAGTGAGCATTAATTTTCTTAAATATTCACCATAAATAGAATCTAAATCTTAAGGTTTAGTCAATAAAATATAATTATCGAAACTACCAGCTTTTCTAATACATTTCATTGTCTTTGTAGTAACTTTAACATGTATTCTTCTACCTAATATTAAGGATTCATATGTTTATTTTTGAACATTAGGCATCCAAGATCGACGAGTTCTATTTATGAATAGATATACTCACTTTTTTTCTGAAAAGCAAGTCTAATTTCCTGATTTAGGTTATTTGCCATGCCATAGACAAAACTGACTCATTATAGTATGTTTTGGGATTTGTTTTTGACATATTCTTTTAATTAAGGCTGTATCTAATAATTATCTTGGGGTCAATTAGGATATGCTTTTGGTAGTTGGATGAGCATTTAGCCAATAATAAAATGAAGGACGGTGACTTAATTGTTTGATACCTTTAAGTAGGACATTCATTATTTATTAATAAAAAATAAATATAAATATTAGTTTTGTATATTTTATATAAGGAATAATAATATTTTTAGTTTAACGATATTTATTAATCTTGTATTCTGAAGGATATTGATATAAATACATAAAATATCAAATTTAATTACTATCAGAATGTTGATTTTGTAAGTAATAGAGTTGTTAGAAATTATTATTAAGAAAAAAAGTATGTGTTTTATTTTCTTAGCTCTATTTTAAACATACATTGAATCAAATAATTTATATCTGTTTGAATATTTATTAATGAAAAATCAATATTATTAATAATGGACTTATATTAACATTCTTATACACTTCCACCTAAAAGATTATGCAAAGAGCCTAAGTTGGCAATCTCTATTTTAAAAAGAAAGTTCGTAGAACCAATATAAGACTTTGCTGGTGTTCGAAGAACTAGAACAAGTTTCTCACCTTAAAGAAGAATGAAATCAATTTAAACTAGATAAAAATCTGCAATATAAACATTTAATTTTGAAGTAGGATAGATAATAGTTCCTAAAAGAAATTCTCGAGTAACTAGATTTTAAGGTCCCAATTTTCCATTTAATCTAAATTACTTGATAAAACAAATGAATGCTTTAAAATGATTATTTATTATTTTTTATAATATGTATAGTATGTTAAAAATAATTAATATAGTNTAAATCTTAAGGTTTAGTCAATAAAATATAATTATCGAAACTACCAGCTTTTCTAATACATTTCATTGTCTTTGTAGTAACTTTAACATGTATTCTTCTACCTAATATTAAGGATTCATATGTTTATTTTTGAACATTAGGCATCCAAGATCGACGAGTTCTATTTATGAATAGATATACTCACTTTTTTTCTGAAAAGCAAGTCTAATTTCCTGATTTAGGTTATTTGCCATGCCATAGACAAAACTGACTCATTATAGTATGTTTTGGGATTTGTTTTTGACATATTCTTTTAATTAAGGCTGTATCTAATAATTATCTTGGGGTCAATTAGGATATGCTTTTGGTAGTTGGATGAGCATTTAGCCAATAATAAAATGAAGGACGGTGACTTAATTGTTTGATACCTTTAAGTAGGACATTCATTATTTATTAATAAAAAATAAATATAAATATTAGTTTTGTATATTTTATATAAGGAATAATAATATTTTTAGTTTAACGATATTTATTAATCTTGTATTCTGAAGGATATTGATATAAATACATAAAATATCAAATTTAATTACTATCAGAATGTTGATTTTGTAAGTAATAGAGTTGTTAGAAATTATTATTAAGAAAAAAAGTATGTGTTTTATTTTCTTAGCTCTATTTTAAACATACATTGAATCAAATAATTTATATCTGTTTGAATATTTATTAATGAAAAATCAATATTATTAATAATGGACTTATATTAACATTCTTATACACTTCCACCTAAAAGATTATGCAAAGAGCCTAAGTTGGCAATCTCTATTTTAAAAAGAAAGTTCGTAGAACCAATATAAGACTTTGCTGGTGTTCGAAGAACTAGAACAAGTTTCTCACCTTAAAGAAGAATGAAATCAATTTAAACTAGATAAAAATCTGCAATATAAACATTTAATTTTGAAGTAGGATAGATAATAGTTCCTAAAAGAAATTCTCGAGTAACTAGATTTTAAGGTCCCAATTTTCCATTTAATCTAAATTACTTGATAAAACAAATGAATGCTTTAAAATGATTATTTATTATTTTTTATAATATGTATAGTATGTTAAAAATAATTAATATAGTAAAATAACTTTGGAGTTCAAAAAATAATAAGAACTGAAGGTGTTTAGGAAAATATATAAATATAGAAAAAGTGTTTTGTAAAGCCAATTGTTTTTAAAAAAAAGTCATTTACAAATTTATCTAGAATGAGTTTTAGTACTCATTTCAAAGTGAAATCAAAAGAATCTATGATTATCTCAATAAATAAAATGAGTTAGGATAAATTGTTAGATTTATTATGTTTATCAACTTAAGATTTAAGGGAGAGATTTCTTAAGCTATCAATAAAACATGAAAAAATAAAAATAGTCAATAATAAATACTTACCTATGGATTTTTTTTAACCTATAGAGTGAAATACAAAATTGATTTTTATTGATTTTATATATAATTATAATTCAAATTTGAATTGTGGTTAAGTATGTCTGCCTAAAAAAGTAAGTAGGAATATTCTAAAAGCAAGAAGGTTTCAATAACAAAAGAATAGAATGACAGTGGTTTTTTGATTGTGAGTCCTATGAAGGAACTATCACCAATAAAGGAGAAAATAAGTGAAGAGTAAAAGTGTATAGAAGTTGTTGAATTTGGATGGTAAAGACACAAGTTAGGAGGGGAAATAAGATATTTAGAGCAGTTTTATATTGAAAATCCAAATTTATAAAAATCTGATATCTAGCGCCTAGATTTAGATAGTTGTTTAGATGAATAAGGAAAGCCTGTATATCGTAAGACAACTTAAGCGTTGATGTAAAATATGGCATTAAAAATCTAATCTCGAATATCAATGGCAGGAGAGTAAATTTATTCATCGATTCCATTACAATAGGCATGTTTGAGTGATTATCACTGTTTCAAAGGTGATTATGGTAAGGATTGGAAGGGTCATTAAGTAATAAAGAGCAAAACGTTGAGTGGAACAAAAAGAGCTTAAACATCAAGCAAAAAAATAATATAATAATGATTATAATTAAAACGGATTTTGTATTGTTTTTATTGGTACTCACAGTTGTAGGAGTGTAGATATCTGCTAGTCCTGAAGCAAAAGTCTATAATTGTGCTAATATTGAAATGATAGAATTGATTGGTGGTGATCCATTACCAATAGATACAAGCAAAGAAAGATATGTGAGTTTTTAAGGTGATGTAAGATTCTCTGTTAAGACTCACAAATAAACTATGGATAGTTTAAAGGAGGGAAAGGATTATTTTGGAACTAATTCAATTCACTATAGTTCAATTTAGAATGGAGTTTATATATTTGTAGTTGAAAAATCTCAAGAAAACATAATTTAAACATATATCAAAACAAATTTAAAGAGATAATATAAGTAAGCTTAAATACCTAAAGCATTTTATTTGAAAACAATAATAGAAGGAGATAAAAAATATGCAATACATTAAATTGTAATTAGTGATAAATAAGAAATGAAGAGAGAATTATTTAAAGAAGAAAAAGAAACTATGCAATCTGTAATATTTATTTAATATTAGAGTTTACTGGTTTATAATTTTCAAAGAAATGTGTGATCATTGTATTTGCAACATTGGAAACTGGAACAAATACTGATTTTACTGCAGATGAATCATTCTTATAAGGAATTTAAGGAATATTAGATGATATTAATAAAGGAAGTAAATAAATTTTAATCAATAAGAAAAGTGTGATCAATTCTTTTGTAAACCACCTTCTATTACCAATCTAGCTGAAGCATTATCTGATCTTCCAGTCTTAAAAATTACATGTCAAAAGAAAATGTGTGCATATTCTTAAGGAGGATAAACAAAAGTCCTTTTCACAAAATGTATTATTATAATTCTAAAATAATCTAGATCCTTTTTTATAGACAGACAAAAATTTTAGATCACTTGAAAAAGCAGTAAATGGTATGTTATTGACAACCATCTCACCTAAAAATTAAAAGTTTGTTTCTATTACAGCCTAATTAGCAATGAAGTGTAACATTTAAGATTTTGATTTCCATTCTGGAGGATATAGTGGAGCATTTCAATCAATTAAAATTGGAGATTAAAAACTTTATAGTGCATTAATTATAGAACCTGGATACAATGGAATTAAAAGGAAATTACGTACTCAAACACCTGAATGTAATATTCTATTAGTAATTACTAGTATATGATTTATTAGAAGGAATTGATAAGGTTAAGTCTATTTATTATTTTATGATCATCACAAGCAAAGGACCTGAAGAATTATTTAATGAAATAGTTTCAGTCATAGAAAAAACTAAAGTTTCAGATTAAAAAAAATTTGAATGCACTCCTATTCCAAAAGAGGATGATATATCATTCATTTAATTGAATTCAAAACTTAATACTTTAAAACCATAACATAAACAAGATGAAAATTCTGAAGAATATGAATATGTTTATGAATATGCTTATGATGAAATTAATGATGATGAAATTGGAGAATATGAATATATCTATGAATATCAATATGAAGAAGTACCAGAAGAATTAAATTAATAAGAATTCTATGAAGAAATTAATGATATATAATCAGATTCAATTGAATTTGATTAGTCAACAGATGATGATTCAGATTCAGAAGATATTGACAATTAAAATATTCCATAAGCTGATTTATTAGAGGTTTAATAAAATGAAATGTGTTTCTATGCATTTTCAGAATGTGATTACTAAGGTGCTTCACTTAAAATTTGTGGACCTAATCCAAGCATTCCTAGAGAATTATAGAACTTCTTAATTTAATCGATAAAGATGCCTGATTAGATGCGAATTACATTCTATACAAATTAATAACAAAAAATCACCATAGAAGGAGATTAAGAATGTTTGTAGAGACCTTTTGAAATTGATTAGATGAGACCTTAAAGATAACTGTTGAGTCATCAATGATAATGCAATATTAGATGAACATTGTTATTAAATCATTTAATAAATTATATATTATCATGGCTGAAGGAAGAGAGAACTGGGCTGTTGATGAATTATTAAAGGCCGAAGAAGAAGCTAATAATATTATTAAGACAGCTTAGAAGGAAAGAGAGAAGAAAATAAAAGAGGCTAAAGTAGCAGCTGATTAAGAAATAGCAGTATTTCGTAGAGAAGAAGAAACCAGATATAATCAAGAAATTCTTAGAGTATTATTAAATAATAATTATAGCGTTTTGGATCAACAAAAGAAGAGGAAGAATTAGAAAGAAAAACAAAGGCAGAAATTGATAAGATATATCTAGATTATGAAGCAAATAAATTGGCAGTTGTGGATATGTTAATTAAAAGAGTGATTGAAGTGAAATTGGAAGTTCCAAGAGTAGTAAAAGGATAATTTGAATAACCATAACAAAATTTATGAGATAAGATGATGAATTCATATAATTATAAATAATGAGTGGTAAAGATTTCTCATAATTTCTTTCAAACAAAGACAATTAATCAATCCAGGAAAGTGTGAAAAAGAGTATAGATCCTAATCTATTCATCAATGAATAAACTCTTAAATAAATAGAAGCAGAAACCAACAAGCATTTTTGGATCAATTACTTTACTCAATCCATTCTTACAACATTCATTGCTCCCTTAACTACCATATATACATCTTTATAATTGTCAGTTATCCCTCATTAAAATAAATATGGTGATTTACCAGATGAATCAGGCACTAAAACATCGACATAATTGGTAAAAACAACAAGAGATATTCAACCTCATGAAAAGAGGAAATTTGAATTATTGATTAAGAGTGGTGCTGTTGGAAGCAATAAACCATTTAGAGCTCCTATATATACTACTTATCGTGAAGCCATTTAAGGATTGACAAATTAGGGATGGTAGGCATTTTACAAAGGGAATTTAATCGGCATTATTCATTTATTAGCTAATAGTCATTTGAAGATTAAATTATTATCAGACTTAGATTTTAAATTAGGAGTTATGTGGCATGAAGGAAATTAATTATTACGTTAAGCTGTTATACTAGGATTAGCAACTGTTTCTGATGTTATTAGCAATCCATTTATGTTATTTTAATCTAGATTCATATTGCAAAATAGATTACCAAATTTTTATTTGTATAAGAATTTATTGAGTGCCTTCAAAAAACATGTTAGACATAAGAAAGAATACTTTTAAGGATCTACCACTTATTTGTATAAAAATGGTCTTATCTTTTTGGTGCAAGTGCCTATATAATTCTCTTAAAAATTAGAGTAATTCTAGATGCTATATTTATACCTTTCCTATAATCTAATTAGTTATCCATTTCTAACTATAGTAAGAAGATTGCATTGTTAAGTATGTTTATGTATAATTTTGAAATTAGTCAACATTACCTGGGATGATCCCCATCAGGTACTCAGGACCTTTTCATGCATTGAGATTGATAACTCAAGAAGAAGGACTTAAAGGTCTATATAGAGGATTTGGTTTATATTTGATAGGGAGTGGTCTATTACAATACATTATGTTTGGAACTTAAATAGATTAGGGAGATTTTTGAAATAATTTGTTTATAATTTATGGCATAATCATTTGCAATCTTATAAAATTCGTTCAAACATTTCGGAGAAGGACATTATAAAGAATCTATGGAGTAATCTACAATTTAAGTCTAGGGAATTGCAGAAATTTAAACAGCTTAAAGAGTAGTCTGATTAAAATCAATCAATGGTACAAATTAATGAAAATATCATACTTTGCGAATACAATATAACTAGGGATGCCAACGCCTGTATTTCAAAATTAGATGAAATCATTGATGAAATAAGAAAACCCTAAACATAAAAGAGTAATTATTAAAGCCAGTGTATAATTTTAGAAAAGAAATAAGATGATGATAGTATTTTGCAATACAATAAAGCAATCATGTTATTCTTGAGTGGGAAGATTAGACAAGCTCACAATCTCTTGAAATAATTGAAAGACAACTATAATCTTGACATTTACTTAAATATTAAAGTCAATCTACTTTTAGTTGAAACATCTTTTCAATTATAAGAATATGTATATGCAAGTGAATTGTACAAAAAATTATCCTCTGAAGACACCTTTAAGTCATTATAACAAAAAAATTCAAAGGCAAATCAAATTGATGATTAATAATAATAGTAATCCTAATAAATCTATACATCGCTGTTAATAGGGTCAGATTTACCTTATCCAGATTAGCATCCAAATACATTTAGTAAAGAAGAATTTTAATTTTTATTAAATGTAATTAAATTTCGCTTTTATATGCTTTCTAATTCTAAGGATTGGAAGAAATAGCTAATAAATTTAGAATAATCATTTAAAAACTACATAATTTAATTAGATTAATCAAATGGAATGGCATAAAGTATGGTCCCTTAATTTTCATAAGAAATATAACCATACTTAAAATTGTAAGCTTAAATGATTTTGAAGTTGATGAAAGCCTAGAAACATTTAACACTCAATGAAAATGTTTAGTGTATAAAAATGATAAATCCATAATCTGAAATTTAAAATCAATAAAATTTAGAATTCACTAAATAGAAATAATTCTTATATTTGGCTTAAATTTATAATAACCTTGGTTGTGTACATGCTAAAATGGGAAAATATGCACTTGCTGCTGTTTATTTTCATAAGGCTATATCTTAAACTAAATTAGTTCAATAATAATCTAATCTCTATGAAGGTATCATTATGACCAATGTCAAATAAAGATTATATGCCATGTATTAAAACTTAGCAGATGCTTTATTTATGGATTAATAATATTAAAAAGCTCTTAATATTTATAATCAACTATAGGATTTGTGTAATCAAAGTGCTAAATTTTGGTATAATAGAGGAGTATGTTTCATTTAAATTTATCATGATTCTATGCCAGATAAAAATGAATTATATGAAATTTCAGAAGATCATTAATAATTAAATGCTTAAGATGAAGGCAAAAAGATTATTCTTTAAAGTAGAGAAATCTATAGTGATGCTGATGAGGAAGTGTAGGATTAGTTTTATAAAATTGATTAGAAGAATGAGGAAAATAAATTTGTTTAATCTAAAGCCAATAAAGAGATACTAAACAATGCTATAAAGTAAGATAAATAAAATTTATTAGAGATCTTTTCGTAATGCAATAATTTTATCAAAAAAAGAAAAAAGAGAGGAAATCATTCATTTAGATTAAGATTAATTACAAATCTTAGGTTCTTAAATATTTGAGTCATCTATTGTGTTTTTAACTTATTCTTTACTTTGTAGAGGGGATTATAATTTAGCATTATCATAAGGAAAAGAGGCATTAGAATATAATCTATCGGATAATAATAAATTCATAATTATTCAATATGTTTTAGAAGCATATATATAAATTTCAAAAGTTAAGGATGCCCTCAATTTCATGAACAGTAGCAGTGTGTCTTAATTTTTAAATAAATTTAATAATAGCAATTTATAATTTTAATGTAGAAATATAATAGGAATTCAAACAACTTGTATTGCAAATTATGGACCTAAAGCAATCTATCATTTTAACTTATCAGTTCTTCATCTCCATAATAATAATAATATAACTTTAGCTTGGAATTCAATTTAAGCTATGATGAATTGCTGTGAAATTAATATCAATTCAAGCAATGTAGCTATTCCAATTCCAATTTTAAATTTATTAATTTGGTATTACTTGAAATCAGGTAAAATTGATTATTAATTTAGATAATGTTTAACTTGCAATCCATTTGATCAAGAGAAGAAGACTATTAACAGGATAGATGGGAAAAAATAAAATATCTCTGTTAAATATTACAAAATGATATAAATAGTAAATAATAATTAAATCATTCTTTTTATATTTAGAATTAATATATTATAAATGTGTAAAATATTTTAAATTTATAAACAAAAATAAATATGTTTAATGTTACTCACACTAAATTAAACTTGAGCAATTTTTGTTTAATTATAGTAGTAATAATAATAAAATGATCATAATAAATATTAATATTTATAATTAAATTATTAATCATTAACATTATATACATGATTTATAATTCTCATTAAATCAAATCAGCAATTTGGACAATTAATGGTGGAAATCCTACTAAATTATAAAAGTTTTCTTATTCTTGAGCTGATTACAACATTCTATTACAGGTAAAACAAATTTTATTATAATATTTTGTGTTTGCTCTTAAATAATTTATCAATTACTAAGATATTATTAAATATTCTTACTTAATTAGAATTATCTAATGTTTCAACTTCAAGACGATTATAAACTTAATCTCTAATTTCTAAGCATAAGGGACAATAGTTTTGCTATTAAAGTGGTTTTAGAGTTATTTTTTCTGCTGAGCTCAAAACAGTAAAGGTTGTTGAGGGGAAGCCTTCTTATAATTTATCAATAAATTATTCAAGCAAGTGATCAATATTACCATGAGCTGGTTTCTAATTATTAACCTTATAATATTACATTTTTAACATTATTGCTTAAATGTTATCCTAAAATAAAATTTGGAAAATTTATGTTTGATTTTAACCTCAAATAATACAATATATCTTTATTGAGTAATTCTTTAAGTGGATGTAAAATTTATAATTTTTATTAGTTGAGAGGGTAGATAAATGAGAAATTATATTTGGTGGCTGATTGTAAACTAAGTCCTCTTCCTTTGGATAATTAAGAAAATAAATCAGCTGCTAATCTTTATCCATTTTAACCAAAGCATACCTAAGTTATTAATTTAGATTTACATTTTAATATCCATTTTTAATTGCATAATCATATATGATATGTTATTTGATTAAACGAACAAAATCTTCTCTTGCTGATCCGAATTCTGATAAATTATGAAGCTATTTAAGAATAATATAAGGATCTGGGTATATGGATTGAATATCAACAATTTGGAATGGTAATTTGCACTCATTAGTTACAAAATTAGTGTAATCTTAGGGTTGCTTAAATGTTCATAAGTATAATTACATATTCTTATATAAATTCTTTCATAATAAAACTTTCATTTATGTACAAAACATGAACTTCAATAAACATTTTGCTTTTGTTATGAGCACAAGTTGAATGTACAACATCACTAGCCATTTTGACTAAAGCTGTTGAATTTCTTATAATTAAATAAACTAATACTATCCTCCAGAGAAACAAACTAATAATTTTTCATTTTTCTAAGTTATATTACATTTAAGTCTTAAAGACATTTTAAACATATGTTCAACATATCCGATAAAGCATTCCTTACAAACAGGATCTTTTTATATGATAATGTTTGGATTGTTGGTTTTACACTTTTTACAAATTTTAGGTTCTTTTTATTACATAAAATAAATATTAAAATATGAAAGGAAAGAAAGTGTTAGATGATGATGAGGAATTTCTAAGATCAAAATCATAGATAGTAATATTATAATATAAAATATAGGATATATTTCCAAAGTGGTAAGAATTGAAACCATTAGGTAAAAATATACATAGAAGATCTTATCATTCATGTGTAGCTCATGAAAATTAGTAAAGATTAAATATATATTGTTAAGTCTTTATGTATATGGAGGATACGAAACAAATGATGGAATTTTGAGTGATTTTTGTAGAATTCCATCACCTGTTTCACCAAAGCCTTTTTGTTGGTCAACCTTAACTAAGAAAGCCGCCCCTGCTGATAAATCATAAGATTTAATTCCAGGACCATTAAGAAACCATACAGCAATAGTTCATTAGAATAAAATGTATATGTTTGGAGGAAAGGAAAACTTGATGTCTCCGACTGGCAAATTATGGATATATGATTTTTAAAAAGAAGTTTTTATTAATGGAAAGGAATGTATAATTGATGGTAAGAAAATGGCAGTGGAAGGGCATTCAAGTTGTTTATGGAACGAGCAGGTAGAAATGCAAATAATAATATTAGTAATAAATGGTTGTCTTTGGAGGATTTTACAGTGACACTGGATATAGATCATCTATATTATGTTATGATTTATAGAAGGAAGATTGGACAATGATATTTAAAGGAGATAATAATGCAGCACAATTTCCAAAAGGAAGAGCAGAAGCAGGAGTTACATTAATTGGAAATACATTGTATGTATATGGGGGATGCAATTATGAATCAAGATTTGGAGATTTTTGGAAATTTGATTTGGAAAATAGATAGTGGGGATTAATAGTAACAGAAAAATCTCCAGGAGTAAATAATTTTATTTATTATTTTATAGACAAGATCATCTACTTCTTTATTAATTCATCCTTAAGGGATTATGTTATTTGGAGGAATTCATGATATAACTCATGAGAAGAATGATTTGTGGTTATACAGAGGGAATGAATGGATATAATTGGAAGAAGATACTAGTAGAAGACAAGTGGCAGATGAAATGCTTAATGATTCTGCTTTTGACAAAGCAAGTTAAGCAAGACCATAAAAGAAAGAGAAAGGTAGAAATGAACCTAGGTCCTTTTTATTATTGGATGATGAGCCTAAAAATTCTATTCACTAGAGAAGAAATTCTGTGAAAAATCTTGATTAAAAGTAACCTACTGACACAGTCAATAATTTCTAATTAAATAGTATGGATGAATAGAAAAAGAAAAGAATGCAATAAAAGAAAAATTAAATGCTGTATCATTATAAATATTATGAAAAGGGCTGAATTTGAATTGAATGAGGAAGAAAAATCAAAATATAGAAGTTCTTCACCAACTACTGATTAGATCAAAAATTCAATAAGTGTGATCACTAATTAAGAAAAATAAGGAGGGTAAAGAAAGATTCAATCACCAACAGGAAAAAAGAATGCGATTTAAGCATCTCTTAATGGAAAGAAACCATGTGCAAGAGATGGACATAGTGCCATTGTAATGGGTGACATAATGATAGTATTTGGTGGAGACAGAAATTTGATGTCCTTCAATGACATCTATATGTACTCGTTCAATTAAAAATGATAATCTTTAATCGTAATGAAGAACTTAATATTCAATATAAAAAGTATTTTTTAAATATATTATCATATTAAATTTTATTAAATTATCAAATAAACAAATAACCATAAATATATATATTAGATTTGTTTTATTTACTAGATTAAGAATAATATAATATTTAAGTTAGAATGAAAAATTAGTATATTCTAATGAAATATCATTTTGCTTATTTAAATTATCTTTAAGTTATTGGAACAGATTTAGGTGTAATTATTATTTATGCTCTTTCCCCTTTAAATGTGATGGATCTCTCATTTTTACTTTTAGGTCTATAAGGTTAAGAAGGTAGAGCTTAATTCATTTGAAGTCTATCTGCTCTTTTAATTCTTGCAGATTACATTCTGATTACATTTTATTAAGTCAAAATAGTAGCCATAGTATGTTATTTGGTTTAAAAGAATTTAGATTTAGAAATTTACATCATACATTATGACTTAACTTCTTCCTATTTTTATTGAAATTCTGGATTCATCCTTTCAAAAATATCATTATAGCATTTTGTACAATCAATTGAAACATTAGTTTATTAGATTTAATTTTTCATCTTAATTTTAGGATTAGTCTCTATTGATTTATATTATTAAAATTCATTTTATTCAGTTCTTATTACACTCTTACGTCGTTTATATTGACTAGGATTTAATTTATGTTCGAATTCTGCTTATTAAGACTCCTATAATAGTCCTTTCATTTTTTTATTAAATGAAATATTATTAGTTGGTTCTACATTTTGATAATCCTATATTTATTCTTCTATCTATTAAACTATACCAATTTCTTCTTCTTCTTCATCCTTTTCTTATTATTTTTATAATTCTTTTTCTAACTCTTCTTGTTAGTATTATTTTTCTGCTTATTCTAATTCCATTTCAATCAATTAATTATCATAATCAGTTTATTTTAATTATTCATTTTTTAATAGCATATATGAATTGAGTTCACATGCAGCATCTTAAAGAGGTTTATTAATATCATATATGTCAGTCATAGTGAATGCATTAATATCAACATTAGAATACATTTTTTTATACATTATTTATCTTTTTGCTAACTATTATACTAATTCATGAAGCATATCATAATCCTAAACTTTTAAAGATGATATTTTTTATTCAAACTATTTTAAATGTAAATCAGCTTTATCTAAAAAATATTTAGAATTTTTTAAATTAATTTCCAAATAATTAAGACCAACTTTATTTTTAACAAATTTGAATATTTTATTAAAATACTCAACAATATTTTCTAATTAGACATTAGTTTATTAAGTTGCTATTCTTGTTGATAATTACATATCAAAATTATACTTTAAATTAGTATAATTAGATTTTAATGTTTATAATTCACCTTAACTTTCTAACATATTTAATTAAGTTTCAATTAAAGTTTAATTCTAATTTTTCAATTCTTATTTTAAAATATTAATTCTATTATCTCTTAATCCATAAACATTTGTTGATTTACATGATCTATCATTTGATAGAGCTCTTCTTGTATTCTTTTAATTTAATAATTTCTTTATTTTTGCTAAATAGATCCATTTATATAATGCATGTCCTTTAATACATTTTCTAATCCAAATTTATTAATCCTTATTTGAAATTAAATCTAATGCTTCTTACAAATTTTATCTCTATTAATCTCTGTCTTAAATTACTTTAACATATATTTACATGTATTAAATTTAATTTCGTAGATTTATTCTACACTTGATTTTATATAAGTTTTCACTTTTAAAAAATCTACTTTTTTTAATTCTTCTTAATCTTATAATAGATACTTTAATTCATCAATCTCTTTCTTTTTCATATTCATTTCTCTTGTTAATTGTTCAGTAAATTTTAATTATTGCTCTATATACTCATGTAATAATTACCTTCTAATTGAGACTTAAATTCTTAAAAAATTCTACCAGAAGCTTAACTATTATTGATACATCTATCAATTAATACATAATCTATTCCATAACCTTATTTTCTTTTTTCAAAAATTTCAAAAATTTATTATATTCCTATCACTTCTTATATACCTTTCCAAAATCTATATAAATCTTTGTCTATTTATAAAATAGCCTTGATTTAAGATTCTATTTCTGCACTACCAATAATTTTTTTTACAAGTTGCTTCAATTTCTCAATTTCAGAAAGGTATTTTTAATTGGATTATGTTAGTCTTTAAATTTATAACCTAAATTATTGGGTAACATCCAATATCTTGTTGTAGATAAATTATCTAATAATTGGATCCAATGTATTTGTATAATCATAATAGGAAGCATCAAAAATTTCTTCATTAGGAAATAAGTCCTTTCTCACAAACATCTCCCTTAAATGTTGTACATCTTTTAAATAGCCAATTGTCATTTTTTGAATTAATTCATCCCTCATTCTTACTTTTTCATCAATTCCTAATATTGATTCCTACAAAACAGGATTAGTTGACTGTCTCAATTTATTACTAGATGGGAAAACGGTTTGTTACACTTCGTCATCACTATTTATAAATCCTTCTTAATTATAGGGTCCATCTCTAAATATGCATTTAATTGGAGGAGAGACTTCTATTCATATTTAAGATTAATTAACCTATAAAGTAATCATGAAGGTTGATTAAGACTTAATCTGTCCTTTTAATGCATGCATTAAACACCAACAATTCTTGATTTTTCTTAACTTCGAATAAAGAGCATAACAACTATGCAATGAAGGATTGAACTTCTAATAAAGCGTCATCATAGGTGCCTTTAAAATGAAGCACCTACTAAACGAAATTATGAATTAATGACATTTAATAATTAAAATGAATATTAAACTCTTGATAATATTAATCGTTTTGCTATTTAATGGAGGTATGCTATTTAGTGTGAAATTCTAGTTCTTACTAGTAAAATCAAAGAATGCTAAGCAAAATGTGATTCATAAATAAATATCTGTGTTTATACATGTGCTTAATCTCAATTGAGATAATCATTGGAAAGTTAAGCCAAATGCAAGAAAATGTGTGATACAGTAAATAAGGAGTGCAAGACTTCTAAATGCTACTTGGAAAGTTGAATGAACAAAGCAATGAAATATTAATATGATTTAAATAAATTCAATAAAACTTTTCTCACTTATGTAAAAATATTCATTAATCTTCTAAACTAGTCTATACAGAAAAGTAGTTATTAAATACTTTTGTTAATATGATATTTTTTTATTATCCATTTCATAGGTTCTATTTTCTGAAATTCTAATATCAAACAGAAATATGTAATACTTTAAACAATTTATTTAAAGTGATACTCTTTTATTTTCGATTTAAAGTTTTAATTGACTGAAATTTATAAATACATTTTTCAATATTATTAATTTAAATAATTCGAATATCATCAATAAAATTAATGTTCTACATATAATTTTACTATTTAATAGAACCAAAATATATATTCTCTAATCAAATTTAATTGAGAATGTGAAATTTCTTAAAGATAGCCATTTATTTAAATCAAATTAATCAAAAAAATAACTTCTATTCTGAATTATTTGTTCATAAATTAATTTGTTTATTTTTTTACTCAGATATAATAATTTTGATATTTTATATTAGATATATACAAAATTGTCGATTTTTTTCGAATAATTTCACTTCAACAATCCCATAATATTGTATTCTTTATCATTTCTGTCTATTTCAATAACTTTCTTTCACAAAGCTTGAATAAATCACATTCCAATGCTTATTTACAACTCAAACGGTTTTTAGGATTCACTTCTAAAAGTTAATTCATTAAATTAATAAGTTATGTATCGCCATTAATTCTTTAACCAATTTTTGGTAGTTTTCCAAATACTAACTCATGCAATAGAACACCAATACTATAACAATCTACTTTATTATTATATTTTTTTTTATCCATTATTTCTGGAGCCATGTAACCAAGAGTTCCACAATATTAATTAGTTTCTGCTGCTTTAACACAAATTCCTAAATCTGCTAATTTTACTATTCCACTTTGCAATAAAATATTTTCAGGCTTGATATCTCTATGAATAATCCCATTTTAATGCAAAAAACTGACTCCTTTTATAACTTGATATATTATATCAATTATTTATTTCTCATATAACTTTTTTTCTTTTCTATAATTAAATAATGTTATATCTCCTAATTCCAAAACCAAAGCAATCTTTTATATTATAATATCTTATACTTATTTCTCATCATTTATTACTCCATAACACTTAAGGATATTTTAATGGTTAATTAAACTCTATATTGCTATTTCTGTTTTAATTAATCCTTAAATACCTTTACTGGTTATCAATGATTTTTATATTGTCTTTAATGCTGCAATCATTCCAGTTGTTGTGTCTCTATATTTTAATAATATTAAAATTATACATCACTGAATAAACATCACTTATATTACCTCTCCCTAAATATTTAATCTTTTTAAATCTATTTAATGGAGATTTATAATTCTTTGACATTTACATATAACTATGTTATTTATCATGACTAGAACTTCTTAATGGAGTAGTTTAACTGTTTGTAGTTGATTGTCTACTATCATGAGAAAAATTAGAAACATTCCTAATAGGTTTAGGTATTTCTATCTTCATTTTAGATTCATTTATGCTTTATTACTTATTTTAACTCTTTATTGCTAATGGATTTGATTTTTTTGAAGTTGATATCAATTGTTTAATTGCTTAAATTTTTTCTCTGTTTTTTTCCAAATTGTTTTCATACTGTATACATATTTTTGGTTGGACGTGTTGATTTTCATAACAAATAGTATCATTACAAAATGATTATTATCCTGGTAATTTATTTTGTGAATTTGAGAAATCTGATGACTAATGATGGTATCTAATGTTATAACTAATATTTTTGTAATTATCAATAAATACCAATTCATTTTGAATGTCTACCTAGAAGTCATGCTACTATTTTAGATCATTTAACACTGACGCTCCATTTTACTTCAATAACAAAAAATTAATTAATTTTATTTTTGTAAATAATGGCACACTGACCCAACTGTTTTATAATCCCTCATAAATTATCTGCATATTTAAAATAAAGAAAGAAAGACTTACTATTAAAAATTATAATATTTTTGATTGTTATATTTATGGATGATTATATATAAGTGGTTAAATTTTAATTTTTTTCAATTACTAATTTAAGAATATTGAATTCATAATTACACTCATCTTATTTAATGATATTACTATTTTAAGAATAATATTAATAACTTTCAAAAGAGTTCTATTTTTCAAAAATCTAATACTAAATTCTAAATTCAATATATTAATTGTACAATTTATATTATATTATTATTCACATCAAATAATAATAAAAAATAAAGAAATTTTCCTCTATTATCGATACTAATAAATATGTTCCATTTGTTCTTAGAACAATTTTTATAAATGATCATATTAAAATAATCAAAAAGATATTAAAGCTTTAATATATATTTTAGTTTAGAATTGGAAAATGTAAAATAATTATTTTAAAAAAATACTTAAATTTCATTCCTATCTAATGTTTAATGTCGGTTAAACATAATCTATTCCTTTTTAAGATCCTGGTGATTATTAAATAAATTTATTTCCTTAATTGTTAATTTAAGGAGATTAATAGTTGGTTAAGGCATTATGATTATAAATAAGTTATTAAGGGTTCATTAATTAAGGAGAATACTCTGAACCATAAATTATGTTGGATTAATAACCCTATTGTATATGTTAGATTTAATTATTATTAGATACACCTGGTAACCATAGTGTTTGTAAGTTTGATTAGGTTAAATTTACAATTTAAGGTTGATTAGGAATAAATTGATTGATTTAATTTTTTTGAGGACTTTGAACAAGAGGTACTTAAGGTGTTATTTATGGACAAAGTTTGACATCTAAATAAAATGGCTATTCTTATTCTTATAATAATTTGTATGGATCTAAGAATTTCTATAAATTATCATATATGAATACTTTTAAATCTATCCAAGATTATCTTTCTTCTGGGTCATCAATTAACATCTTTTATATTAAACCTTATAGCAATTCTGAATAATTAATTTTAATAGTTTATAAACTTTAAAAAATATTATTCTTTTCCAATTAATTAAATTAATTGTAAAATGATTTGAAATCACTTTTTGTAGTTAAACATAGTAAAACTATTCCAAAAGCATAAACATCACTTTTAAAATTATTTATTTATGGAAAACGAACATTTCTTTCTAATTGATCTATTTATTCTGGGGATAAGATTGAAATGCAATTTTATAAAGCTTAATCATAAGAAGAAATTATATTAAAGAGATGATTCACTTCCTAAATTTTTATATAAGATTTACTAATATTTTGAGATTCTTTTCTTTTGGATATAATGTATTTAGGCTAATATTACTAATTGATTTAAATTAGTTTTAAAGATATTCAGCACAATCAACTACTTAAAAAATGATGCTCCAAATGGCTGATTCATAGAAGGGTTTTTACCTTTTCAATCATTATAGACAAAAATACTTTTTTTTCATTAATGTTTCCAAAGTCTCTTCTCCAGGATAATCATAATAAATTCTATATCTATCTTGATCACGACTACAAAAATTTGAGCATTTTTCAATAAACAAAGCTCGAAATAAATTAGGATGATTTAATTTAGTCTTCTCTATAAAGTATTATTAATCCATAAGCTAGAGTGTCTTGCCTAGATTGTTATAAAAATTGTTACTAAAAATCTTGACTTAATCATCTGGAATATATGTATATATTTCAATAGATCCTAAAAGATCATGTTCAATGCATTTATCTTTAATGAATTAATTTTTTAATTAATCATTCCAATCAACCACCATGCTATTCCCCATTAATTGAAATAAAAAAAATAAAAAAATAATAATATTGTCAGTAATTATTAACATTTTCTGAATTATTATTAATCTACAATCTATTTTGTTAAGGTATATTTTTCATTTACATTCTCTACATTGTTACTAATATATTCAATAATTAAATTTAATACTCTTTTACTATATAAAATTAAAACAATATGCAAATAACATATCTCTATCTTACATAAATTTTAATCATATCAAAATACTTTCTATGATTGTTTCATATATGTATTATGTAATTAAACTGGTTATATATATATTACATTCCCTATTTATAATTGTAATTTTTCTCTTTGTTATACTTATTAACAATATGTATATTAAATATTTTAAAAAAGATGCAATTTTTGGTAAAATCTTCAGGAAGAGTGGGATACTTCGGATTTGCTACAGCAGCTGCTACTCATAAGGATATAGCTGGAAAGAATTTCTTAAAATTTTAAAGCAAATATGCAGAATATGTCACTCAATTCAATCAAAAGCTGTAAGAGCATTATCTTTAATCATGTAGTGAAGCTATTGAGAAAGATAATAAGGCACCAAATGTTGCACCTCAAGGTAAAGCATTCGAGCATCCATATAATAATCCACATAATCCAGTTAACTTCAGTGGTGTAAGTGTTAAATATTATATCATAGATTAAATCATCTGAATTGTTTTACAACTTCATTGGACCAGAATAAGTGTCACCACATTATGAAAATTTCCTTGTTGCAAGAAAATATCTTCTTTTAACTTATGGAGGATTGATTGTTATTGGATTTGCAGCAGGCACAACAAATCTTCATTGGATTGCTAAATCATCATTCTTACCATTCTTATTCTGGATGCAAATTATGTATTTCTACTTGGAAGGTCGTAAATCATTTATGAAACCATTACTTGCTAGATTTTACAGAAGAGTAGCTGGAAATGAATGTTTCTAATTAGATCAATATTATCATGAAAATATGTAACTTAAAATTCGCACACTACTTGAAGCAGCTAAAGGATAGATTGAATATGGATAATTACATAAAGAATTCAGAGATGTTAAAGCAGAATTAATTAATACTGTATTTATTAATAAATTATATTCTTTAGTTTCTTATGAATGAATAATTAAATCTATAGAGACATGTTGTTGAGAGATCATAAAA